TTGGCTAGTGTAAGCACTACCTAGCAACAACTAAAACATCGGTGCGTTATCAACTTTGTTCTCATCCTAAATCCAAAACACAGCACTGTACCAGCTACCAGGAAGGAAATTAACTCTGTCCCTGCCAAAACCAGGACATAGGTATATCCCATTTTCTTCAGTAGGTGAAAAAAATCGTAGTGAGAAAGCATATTCTGTCAAAATATCCATCAGAAAGAAGATAATCTAGACCCAGTTTACTGCAAAAACCAGCTTGTATGTGCTGGCTGAACTGTTTGGGAAGGAAGGTGCAAAGGGTGAAGGTCCAAAACCAGCTGGTGGTGCTAAGTATAATTTCTAAGACAAGACTCATATTTTTTAAATCCCCTGGCAACTTGCAACCTGTAACTATCTTGGAGGCTCATATAAACACTTCAGTCTTTGGATATTGAAGTTACAGCTGTACTATGTTAGCAATAGCCGTGATCAGTGCCTAATGTGCTGTTGACAGACTTCTGTCTATACTGTATGTAAGATGTGGACTGTCCTTCAGTCCCCATACTTTTTGCCTAAAAACTAAATCCTCTGGTTCTTGCTAAGGTGAATTCCAGATGAGAACCAATGCATACGCAGGAAGATTGGACCTGAATAAAAACAGTAGGTGAAAACAGTGTAGGCACCTTCTTGTGCACCAGAAGTAAGCTTTGAATTATTGGGATCTTCCCAAGATTACTGAGCTGTGACCTGAATAATGACTAGGTTGCTAACTTTCAAATAGCAGAATTACAGTCATGAATCTGTGGTGCACATGTGCAGGTGTATCTTACAGACATGCATAAGGTCTGTCAACAAGCAAACTGCCAGACAAACAGGCTGGCCATGCTGCAAACTTGTCAAGTGACAACTTCAGTATTGACAAAGGGTGATGTCACTGAACTGGAAAAAAACCCCACCTTGCTGTCCCATCTGGGATGAGAACTTCCATGGAAATCATACCACCTTTTGCTGTCTTTTTCTCACACGTGTCTCTTTTATGCATTTCTCAGTACCTTTCTCTTTTCAGCTCTACAATGTGGTGAAAATCTCTTCATGTCATCCGCCCCTTTCTCATGGTCAGATGTTATTCAGGCCTGGTACAATGAGGAGAAAGATTTCAAATACGGAACTGGAGCAAAAAGACAAGGTGTTGTGATTGGCCATTACACTCAGGTAGATGCAATTTTTTTATATTTCAGGCTGAATAAATAAATATCTATATGTTAGCTAAGCAACTTTTACCCTCTCATTATCTTTAAAGAGAATAAGTACAATGGAGACATGAGAGTTATTCTGACAAAACAAGATGAAAGCTTTCAAAGTAACAGAATTGAAATGAAAATAATAGGCTAAGTGGCTTCATGGAGTAAAGAGTAAAGATACTGGTATTTCAAAACTTCAGAAAGAAGCAAAAGGAAGAAACTTATTTGTTTGTTTAACATCTGAAAATTGCTCAGACACTAGAAGAATAGGGTTATTAAAGTATCAGGAAGGAAATATAAATGTTTGTTATAGTCCACAGAGTTTCATTGACTCAGAGAGTTTCCAGTTGGACAAAGGGTTATGATAACCTCCTCTCTTTGCCTGCACGAAACACAGGATACAAAATTTTACATCATGATTCCTACATCTTCTCCAACAGTTTCAACTGAATGAAAACATGTATAATGGAGATAGTTTAACTCAAATGTTTTGTATATACGCGTGATAAACTATTATCATTGTATCCTAAATGTTCTTTGGTTCAGGGGTGAAAGCAGGGAAAAACAATGTTTTTCCAGCAAGGTGAAACTTATATTTTATTATAAAGGGTAAATAAAGTGACTTAACTTGGTTGCAAATGTTTCTGTAATGCATATTGTACTTAAATGATTTTCAAATGTATATTTTTCATTCTTCCATTATTTTCATTCTTATACCTATAGATGGTTTGGTACAATTCTTATCAAATTGGATGTGCTGTCGCTTTCTGTCCCAACAGTAAATACAAATACTTTTATGTCTGCCAGTACTGCCCCACGTACGTATTGATTCTGATTCTGGAAGTTCTTATTACATGATCAAAATTAGTCGGGAGATGGTGAAATTTGTAATAGGGCACATCAGCCATAGCTGAGGAACAGGTTTGAGGAGTGTATTAGGAATATGAAAAGACAGACAAATACTCATCAAAAGAATTGTCAAACAAGCAAAAGCACAAAACACATAAAAGTGACACTGATTTTCAGATTAAATTTCATTTGCCTAAAAATCCTAATTTTCATAATAGTAAATCACAAATAAGTATTTTTCACATTCTACTTGAAATCTTGGTTCATGGTCTTCATCACGGGCTGCAGGGGAATCTCTGCTCCGCTGCCTGGAGCACCTCCTCCCCCTCCTTCTTCACTGACCTTGGTGTCTGCAGAGTTGTTCCTCTCACATATTCTCACTCCTCTCTTCTGGCTGCTGTTGCACAGCAGTTTTTACCCTTTCTTAAATATGTTATCCCAGAGGTGCTACCGCTGTCGTTGATTGGCTCAGCTTTGAGCAGCAGTGGCATTGGCTCTGTCTGAAATAAGGGCAGCTTCTGGTGTCTTCTCACAGAAGTCACCCCTGCAAATTCCGACCCCCACCGCCCCACTACTGAAACCTTTCCAGATAAACCCAACACATATATAAAAATTGGTTGACATATAACCAAAGACTGAGTGTAAATTTATATATGTATGCACCCATATAATTGTTTTATTCTCAGATATGTTATAGTAACTTTATAGCTTATGTTGGTGATGTTGATGTTTCAGGGGGAATCTACGAAGTTCAATTCAGACACCCTACAAAAAAGGAGAACCCTGTGGTGATTGCCCTAATGCTTGTGAGAACGGATTATGCAGTAAGTTTTAAGCATTTTAACTGTGACTCAGGTAAAGTTGATGCTTTAAAAAAATCCCAGTTAATTTATGCAAATGGAAAGTTTTTGAAATTATTCGTTCAAATACCAGGCCAAAAGTACTCTTACAGAACCACGCTTCAGCATGGTAGGTGCTTTACCTAGGTGGGACGACTTGTGGAGTGAAACCAAAGAAAGAGTCTATGATAAGGGTGGGAAAATGTTAGACAGTAGTTGGTGTACATTGGGATGCAGATACCCTCCACTTCATGGATCAAGATATTCATGTGGCCTAGATACCTTCATTAAAGATGACAATGTCTGGGTCTCCATATGGAAACTCTCATGAATACTTTCTAGTGTATGAAGATGCAGTGAGGTCAAAAATATGTTTATACTAATGGTAGCACAGAAATCTCAGCTCCAGATTTCCAGCTGCAGTTTATACTCTTTTCCATACCCAGGAGAGGCAATTCTCACCCTTGAATCTAGGAAATGCCAGGGAAGGAGGAGACTTCTTTATCTTTTTTTCTTCTTCTTCCTTTGAACAATGGTGGCTCATCAGGTAGGAGTAACAACACACTTGATAAGAGCAAGTAGCAAATCTGAATTTTAAGAATTCTAACAGAAAATAAAAACATGTGGGCTGAGTCTCATAATGCAAGACTTAACTTCAAGTCTAACTTCTGTTACATAATTAACCTAATTCTCATCGTGAGCTGTAGTATAAAGGAAGAAAGCTTCAAAACACCTTGCAAGTTCAGTGAGAAACCTCCTTGAAAGAGCTAAGGATCTTGTATGTGTGGTCAAAGGTTTTGTATGCTGCTGTGGAGTAAATGGCAACAAAGAGGAAACAATTGCAGAGAAAATAAATATTGATGAAAAATTATTCCAAAAGGAAATGCTGCAGGTTCTCATTTCCCATTTATGATTAATTTTGTGTTTCAATTTCTTTTCAGCCAAGCTTTGAAAGTTTGAAGGTGCTTATTCCAACTGCCTTGGCAAAGTCTCCTGGATGTACTGATAGCTTCCTCAAGTTCACTGCCCTGCTTCCTGCCAACGCAAAACCGAAATAAAATAACAGCTCATTTTTTCCCTTCCTGGACATCCATCTCCTTAGTGACTTCTTTCAGAAAACCAGATTCCATCCTGCCTCTCCCACATATGCAGAAGGAGTAACTTCAGTCCAGTGACTCACACGAGAAAAAGCTGTAGGAGGATGTACGTATTCTATTTGTATAATGGTCTAGAACATAGCAGAGACCTTAATTGAAATTTGGCATTTGGGTACCAGATATATTTAACGGTTAGCTTTTCACATCTTTCTTTTCCCAAAATTTTATCTAAGGAGCATTGTTTAAAGTTCTGTGGTTCCATGTGTTTCATATGTTCTTAGGATAGATGGATAGTCCTTGGTCATGCAACTAGTCTTAACTTGATCAACATTTTGAACTATTGGACTGTTAACAGGACCAGAAAATAAACAGGATAACCTGAAATATGTAGTTCTCAAAAGGAATTAGGAAAGCAGCGCAGTTTCCACTAGAATTATTCTGGTTTAGAATCTGTATCTTTTGCTGACATACATTCTACTGTAAAATGCTCAGTTGTATCTAAAAGATAAAAAAAAAAGAGTGTATTTCATCTAAATTAGTGATTCTGCTTATAGTATATGATTGCACTTATCATAAATACATGTAATGAAACCTGCCCTCTAATGACAAAGAACTGTCTGAGAAAAGGGCTTAATGCACAAAAATAGATAGCCAAGGGGAAAGGTCCCTGCATTTGGAAAGTTTGCTTTTAATAACAAATAAGCGTGTCTTCCAAAATTATTTTTTTTTAATATCTGCTTTTGCTGTATCAATCATTAAATTACACATTCTTCACTGACCAATTCATTGTAATTTTCCTTCTTTCTTATTACCATGAAATACAGTTCATTTAACTTCCACCAACGTTGTGACTTTATCAGCATTAGGTCTTGAAGGGAGCTTGATTCTTTAGCAGCATAAGCAGAAACAGTTCATGTGAGAAACTGAAGATTTCCTCGGCAAAAACAGAAGTCAGGCAAACAACTTTCCTTCAGACCCTCTTTCAGGGAGAATGACTGTTTGCACAAATAACATGTAATACTCACTTCTGGGACCTTTGGGAAGCAAGTGCTTTTCTGTGTAGTCACAAGTGGGACTAAATATTGTTTTAGTCTCACCTTACAATGGTTTCACATTCCAGTCCTCTTTTAGTAAGGAAGCTGCTGTCGTAATTATGTTTACAAGTCCCAGAGTCTTTGGCACAGAATAATTTCAGCACACACTTCTGACTTACTCATTTCAGTGGCAATTTCAGCACACATTTCTGACTCATTCCTTTTGGTGACATTTCTTCTTGTATGAAAGATCAGCATGAAGTTAAAAGCCTGGTTTCACAATTCAAAGTGAATTGTTTGGGTTGTTTTTTTTCTCATTCATTGCCACCACTTTTTCCCTCCATGATATATTGCCCTCTCATTTGGGTACATCTCTACTAGTAAATTAAGCAATGCCAGGACATAGATGTGAGTGCTGGAACATGACTTACTGCACTCTTATAATTAGCACAGGTCCAAGTAAGAATGATGATAATGCAATAGCTAATCCAGTGTCGTTATCATTAAGGAAATGGGTAGACCCGTGTTGTGGTTTAACCTCAGCTGGCAACTAAGCCCCCCCCAGCCGCTCGCTCACTCCCCCCGCAGTGGGATGGGGGAGAGAATCGGAAAGGTAGGGCAGGCAGGTGTTCAGCCATCTCCAGGAAAGCAGGGCTCCATCACGTGTAACAGTGACTTGGGAAGACAAACACCACCACTCCGAACGTCCCCCCTTCCTCCTTCTTCCCCCAGCTTTATATGCTGAGCATGACGTCACATGGTATAGAATGTCCCTTTGGCCACTTTGGGTCAGCTGTCCTGGCTGTGCCCCCTCCCAGCCCCCCATGCACCTGCAGCCTTCTCAGTCCGTAGAGCATGGGAAGCTGAAAGGTCCTTGACTAGTGTAAGTACTGCTCAGCAACAACTAAAACATCGGTGCATTATCAACTTTATTCTCATCCTAAACCCAAAACACAGCACTGTACCAGCTACTAGGAAGGAAATTAGCTCTATCCCTGCCGAAACCAGGACAACCCGTTACCCCCCACTCCTAAAAAAGTCCATTTACTGTGAGTAATGGGTCTAGAAATCTATTCCCTTCCATTGTAACCCATACCACAGGAACTGATTTCTCAGTCACTCACAAGAGGAAAGGAGTAGTGTAATGAAGTAAAAATCAGCCCTCATACATCTCACCCATGAGGACCCAGGGAACTAAAGGTCAACAAGCCTAATTTAGATATTCAGGAAGATAATGCAGCAAATTGTTTACCAGTCATTTTGTAATCAGTAGAGTATAAAATACCAGCATGGATTCGTCATGAGCTGATCTTGCCAAACCAAACTTTCGTCAGTGAGCAATTTGGATGAGTGGATGTTGTTTTGGCTTTGGTAGCATGTTTGACAAAGCCACAAAAGACATTTGCAAACTAGGGAGATGCAGTTCAGATGAAAGTAATAAGACACAGCACATACACGCTGTTGAACACACATATCCGTGATGCTCCTGTGCAGGGGGCAGAGACGGAGGCCTCTGGCAATGTGGTAAGGTGTCTGCGCAGACGGACAGTACCCACATGCAGATCTAATTGCACAGTTCTCACATGTGATGTCTATGACCTTCCTCAGCCACAAGTCGCAATCATAGTTGAAGACAGCTTTTACCAATAAGGAAAACCTTCACTGAATGCTTTTCTTGGTTGAAAGAAAATTCCCATTTGAAAATTCCCACATTCCCATTTGCCACAAGCACATTTAGGCATTCTTTTGGACAAAAACAAGTTCTAAGTTCCCGGACTACTTCCAACAAACATTAAGAGCAAATGCTGTTCTAAGAAATATGCCAGAATTTTAATCCATTACAGTTTAGTATAAAATGAATAACTGGTACTTAGGAGAGGTAAGATCTGGAGAGGTAATAAAAAATTGATAGATCGATGATGGTATAAACAACCCTTGGAGCAGGAAACCCAAGATGTCCTGTGCTGTGCTGCAGACACTATTCTGCTCCTGTTTGCTTCAAGGAATTTTATATTCTTTTTCTCTCCAACGGGACTTGGAGAGAAAATATACTTCACCTTTGATGGGTGAAGTACAGAATGTTTTCCTCACCTATCCCAAATAGCATTTAACTTAGTGCTTACAGTATCTTCCTCATAAACATTGGCTTTACTGCAGACCGGCATTAGATCAGGTCTCCTGTTCCCCTGACACATTCTCTCACTACAAAGCAAATTGGTAAAAAATAGACCTCCACCAACACCTTTTTTTCATTTAAGCATATTTTGGAAGGAAGATGGCTATGAGCATCTTTATGTGGGGTCCAGCTACTGTTTTTTCTTGGGCATGAGAAAGGTTTAGTGACTGACTCTGGTACCAAATGGTCATGTTGCAGCCAGGCAGTGCTGATAAAAGACTTAAAAGCCATTATAACAGATATTTCATAATGTATTGCAAGGCAGTGTGCCTTGTCCCTGATAGTCCCCTGTGGTCACTGGGGTCCCCACATCAGATCATGCATTCCTCCTAGCACATCCTGTTCCTGGCTCGGTTCACCGTTCTAGGTGAACCTTTACCTTCCTACCTTTACCAAGGATCCAGAGCAGACAAGGAGCTGTCATGGGAGGGCCCATGGAAAGGGGTCATTTCCCATTCCTCCTTCTCACCTACTTCTGATGGAGCTCCCTGCAGACAGCTGGCTGCTCTAGGACAGTGACTGAATTATGTCCCATATCATGGGCCCTTGGTTCACTGTGGAAAAGTACACAGTTTAGAATAGAATAGAATAGGTTAGAATAGAATAGAATAGAATAGAATAGAATAGAATAGAATAGAATAGAATAGAATAGCATAAATTCCATCAGAAGGGACCTAC